GGGGAGGAAGGTTCACAGATGTTTGGCCATTTCACAAAGCCTTAATGTACCAGCACGCTGAGCACGGTGGGCCCTAGGACGACTCCTTTTTTGTGAGGACCTTCCCTGGCCCCTGCCCGGCCGGGACGCCCGGGCAACCAAGGTGTCCTGGGCGGCCCGGTTCATAGTTCAGGGGGAAAAAAAAAAAAAAAAAAACTAAATTCTTTGCACGCCAACGGATAAAACCGCTCCATGCCAGGGCCAAAAAAAACATCGAACGTGCAGACCAATCACATACAGTTTATAATTTCTGAGGCTGGGGCTCCTACTTGTTGTGGTTTAGACTCTAGAGCCACACCTGCTCCAGGGTGAATAATGACCCAGACCACACACCTGCTCCAGGGTGAATAATGACCCAGACCACACACCTGCTCCAGGGTGAATAATGATGTCAGTCATACCCCGGTGATAAACGGCGCAGACCCCACACACCTGCTCCAGGGTGCAGACCCCGCACATCTGCTCCAGGGTTAATATTGATGCCAGTCATAACCCCATGATAAACGGAACAGGGGGATGTGAGTCAATGGGAGAGGCAAGTATGTTTCTAGAGAAGGGCACACATGTGTGGACGGCCTGCTCACTGGGCAATCGCCCAGAGACGTTCATGTTTGTGGGTTGATTCCCCAGGGCGGAGAACGGCGGGAGGAAAGAAAAGCCGATCCAGCATGGGGACGAGGGGAGAAACTCCATCTAGTGTGGAGTACAAAGGAGAAGTGGGAGGAGACGCGGAGAAGCCCCACTGAACGTCATCCGTGTCACACCTCCAAAGTGACCCAATTGCTTCTTAAATAAGAACGACAACTTTTTCCGTCAACCATCGAGATGTTTAAGAAGGTGACAACAAGGAGAATTCAGAGAGCAAAACCGCAACAGTAGTTAAACAATCACAATGCAATGGTTCAAGTAAATGACAATCACAATGGTTACATTAAATCACAATCACAATGGTTGCAGTAAATTACAATCATGTGAGTACTGAGAGTGATTCCAGTAGAGTTGCAGTGAGTTTAAGGAAGTTAGCGAGCACGAAAGAGGGCATTCCAGAGGAGGTTGTGGGTTCGATTCCCCACTGTCCCCAATCAAGCCCCCACACCTCCTGAGGCGCGCTGCGTGTTCACCAGGTGAGATAATCAGCTTGTCCCTCCTGGTTGGTAGGTGGGGAATGCCACTCGTTGTCAGGGGTTAGGTTAAACCCTGAAGGGGATAGGCTCAACCCTGGAGGGGATAGGCTCAACCCATAACCCTTGGTGTGGCTAGCCGCTGGAGGGTAGATCAACGTGTATCATTCCTAGTTAGGTACGTAGTGGGAGGTATATTGAGATATAGCTTAGTTTTTAAGATTTACAGTGAGTTACAGTGAGTTACAGCAAATACGGTGATGATTATGAGCGTGTGACGCAACTGATTTCATCATTTAATAAAAAACCTGGTTATAACTTAAACACACACACACACACACACACACACACACACACACACACACACACACACACACACACACACATTTAAGAATTACAGTGAGTTACAGTGAGTTACAGTGAGTTACAGCAAGTACGGTGACGATTATGAGTGAGTGACGCAACTGATTTCATCATTTGATAAAAAAA